TTTCGGTTTTACTCTAAATTACTGCAAATTCTGAACCTGCTTGGAATGCCTGCCCGTGCCTTGAACTCACCCATGCCTGGCTCTCTGACCAGATAGCAGCCCTCTCTGAAATTTTAGTGACGCCTCATCAATCTTGGCCTTCCCTGGCCAGATAATGACCCTCTCTGAGGCTCTAATGACCTTCATAAATTCTGATGTCGGGGCCAGCAAAAATGTAAACTACAATTAGTGTTATGCTCCTCAGAGTTTTGTTATCTGTAACCCCCCTTTGTGTAACTTTCTGGGCTATGAAGTTGGGCTGCAGGAAAGCTGCTGCGGCTGCTGTCTTGTTCCCACGGTTTTGGGTGGGAGAGGCAGTCCGGCCGGACGATCCAGCCGGACGAAATAATAAGCTTGCTTTAATTTGATTTTGATTGGAGTCAGTGGTCTTTTCTTGCATCCTGGTCTAACAATTAACTGCAGTCACCATTTTGTGTAATAGGTGTCTTGAATTTATTTCTTCCTATCCAACTGAAATTTTAACTCCTTTGAACAATGTCTCCTTAAGCCACCCCATTACCATGTTTTTATATAGGAAAAGTTTTCTGATAGAAGAGCACAGATTTGGGGCTGGGGATGTGGCTCAAGCAGTAGTGCGCTTGCTTGGCATGCGTGTGGCCCGGGTTCAATCCTCAGCACCACATACACACAAAGATGTGTGTCCACCGAAAACTAAAAAATAAATATTAAAAAAAAAAGAGCCAGTTAAAAAAAAAGAATTAAAAAAAAAAAAAAGAAAAGAAGAACACAGATTTGGTCTTGTTTTCCAGTCTGTTCTGCTAGTCTGTCATTTAAGACAGGTACAGGAAAACACATTCCTAATTGTCATTGATATACTTGGATTAATAAGTACCATATTCGCAACTTCTTTTTTAGTTAATACTGGGTTTTTCTTTTAAGCAACTTTTTCTGCCTTTCGTTTAGTTGCATGGTTGATATAATTCTGCCTCTGTCTTCTATAAGGATATCAAGGATGCTTGTTTTGGAAATGTTCAGTGTTTTCTCAGTGTTAACAAAATCCATTTACAACTACTCTCAACTCAGTTGAGTGGGCGTGAATTCTCACCTCAGCTCCCTGTCCACCTCCAGAGAGGAGCCCCCAGGCCGGCTCATTTTCCTGCTCTCTCAAGATACTTGCTTCCTGTTCCAGAGGCCTGGCTGCCCTCCCCGAGCCCTCAGTCTTGGGAGTGATCACCTGTGTGTCACATCCACATCAGGGTCAGCATCAGAGCCACAGCTCTGAAGGTGACTAAGCCAGTTCTTGCTATGACTTGCTAACCTGCTCTCCAGATGCCACCTTGGGTTGGTACCTCTGCTGTTGTGACCTGTGCTGATCTGTTCATTGCTGCCCCATCTGGGAATTGGGGTCTCACACCACGTGTCACCAGGAAACCACAGAAATTAGCATGTCCTCTCCCTTATTTAATTCTTTATTTAAAATTTTCACCCCCACAAAGTATGTTCCCAAATGAAATATAAAGTCTGTGGTAAGATTTGGTGATAAAAATAATATTAACTATGGGGCTGGGGATGTGGCTCAAGCGGTAGCGCGCTCGCCTGGCATGCGTGTGGCCTGGGTTCGATCCTCAGCACCACATATAAACAAAGATGTTGTGTCCGCCAAAAATAAAAAAAAAATAAATAAAAAATTTAAAAAAAGAGAAAAGGGCAGAACATCTCCATTCTTAAAAATATTAATAATATAAACTAACTAATTAGAACAATTTTTTTTTAGAGAGAGAGAGAGAGAATTCTTTAATATTTATTTTTTAGTTTTTGGTGGACACAACATCTTTATTTTATTTTTATGTGGTGCTGAGGATCGAACCCAGCGCCCAGGGCATGCCAGGCTACCGCTTGAGCCACATCCCCAGCAATATAAACATCCTGAGACTCTTCATCAAGATTATAACTTGGGCACTCACTTGAGTCTCCAAGTGTCCCCATCCAACTCATCCCTGACCTGCCCTGGAGTTGTCCACACTGTCTTAACCCATTGGCTAATTTTCCTTAATTGCATGCATTTTCAGCGAGCATTTCTCTTTTAGGTTTGCCCCAGTGGATCACTGGGTTCACATTATCTAAGACAGTGGTTTTTAGTGTTTTACTCACATAACAAGAAGGTAACTATTTGAGGTGGTACATATGTGGGATTATTTCACAGTTGCACACTTTAAATATATCCAATTTTATCATATTGGGTTCTTTAATGAAGGACTCCTTGGATCCTTTTATAGACTCACTTGCAACTTCATGGGAAGTGTATACAATATAGTATCTGCTAACATTTTTTTCATTTGCAACATATAAACAAAGTTTGTCATAATCAATATAAAACCTGTGAATGTATTAAAATGTCAGTGCAGTGGAAAAAATGAGCAAAGAATATTAATAGGTAATTCATAGGAAAAGAACTATAGAAAAGCTGACGTATGTGTATGTAAACATTCACCCGTGATGAAATACAAAAACACAGGCTGCTTTTTTTCTTTTCCTTTAGTAGTGTGGGGATTGAACCCCGAGGCACTCAACCACTGAGTCACATCCCCAGCCCTTTTTGTATCTTATTTAGAGACAGGGTCTCACTGAGTTGATGAGTGCCTTGCCATTGCTGAGGCTGGCTTTGAACTTGAGATCCTCCTGCCTCAGCCTCCTGAGTTGCTGGGAGGTCACTTGGTATTTACAGGCGGGGGCCACTGTGCCCGGCTGGATCTTTTCATATATGGTATTTTAACCTAAATATGCTTTGGGCTGTTCTCATGCATGCATTCATTCAGTTTTACTGTGTATACTAACCCCTTTTTTTGTTTGTTTGTTTTTGTGGTGCTGGGGATTGAACCCAGGGCCTGTGCATGCTAGATTTGCACTCCACCACTGAGATACGCTCTATCATTGATCAATTTTCTGTGTATGTGTGGGCCCCTTCAGTACTGATTTCCTTTCCCATGATCTATTTGTTAATTTTTGTGTTAATAACATAGTGTTGTGGATAGTGTGGGTTCAAGGTCTTTTGTGTATGTAGTCAAGTCATCCACTTTTTGTTCCAGAGATTTTAAACATTTATCATGCCTACCAGATTTGGTAAACCAGTTTTTAACTGTCTATGAAAAGGTGTATTTTGGGGCATTATACAATTTTATAGATGTATGTGTGGGAGGTGCCAACTTGATAACAGTGAATTCTTTTGTGGGGGAGAGTACAGGGGGTTGAACCCAGGAGTGCTCTACCAATGAACTACATTCCCATCCCCTTTTTTTAAAATATCTATTTTTTTTTAGTTGTAGTTGGACACAGTACCTTTGTTTCACTTATTTATTTTTTATGTGGTGCTGAGAATTGAACCCAGGGTCTTGCCCGTGCGAGGTGAGCACTCTACTGCTGAGCCACAACCTCAGCCCTCCCACTCCTTTAAAAAAAAAAATTTTTTTTTTTTTGTCGCGGATAGACATAGTACATTTAATTATTTATTATTATTTTTTGTTGTGGTGCTGAGGATCAAACCCAGTGCCTCGCGAGTATTGGCAAGCGCTCTACCACTGAGTCACAACCCCAGCCCACATTCCCACCCCTTTTTATTTGGGACAGATTCATTCTAAATCGATCAGGCTGTCCTTGAACTTTGGATCTTCCTACCTCAGCTGCCCAAGTTAGCCGGAATCACAGACGTCCACCGCCATATCTGGTAGACTTTGAACTCATCTGTTATGGTTTAGATATGAAGGGTCCCCCCAACAAACCTCACATGTGAGACAATTCAAGAAAGTTCAGAGGTGAAACGATGGGTTTATGAGAGCCTTAACCTGATCAGTGCGCTGACCCACTGAGTGGATGTGCTGGGTGGTGATCTAGGCAGACAGGGTGTGCTGGAGGAGGGAGGTCACAAAGGGGGCATGCCTTTAGTGCTCACAGTGTCCCTGGCGAGCAGAGCCCGCTCTGCTTCCTTTTTGCCATGTCCTGAGCTGCTCACCTCTGCCACACCTTGTAGCATGAATGTCTGCTCACCCAGGCACAGAGCAGTGGGGCTGGCCATCTCAGACAGACCTCGGAAACCATGAGCCCCAAATAAACTTTTCCTCCTCTTGAAATCATTTTTGTCAGGTCTTTTGGTCACAGAGGCGAAAAAGTTGACTAAACACCACCCTTTCACTTGTTTTACTATCCTTTGATATTCTCCAATAAAAACTATAATGTTTTTCTGTTGGTATCCTGAATTGTCCTTCGTGAGTCCTGTTCAGTATTTAATTCCAGTTGATGTATAATAAACCATATATACAAGTTTCCAAATGTTCTTTCAGTGTAGTCAAAAAAAAAAAATGCACCGAATTTCCCAAGTAACAAGTTGTGACAACAGACGATAAATGTTAATTACAGACCATCTCTAGATTGATCATCCACAGTGTACTAGGGGGAAGATGAGGTAGGCTGCTTTTGATGAACATATTATTACATTTCAAACATTCAGAGGGACAACTGGAGTTAAACAGGTTATATATTTTTGGCATCAACTGGTTTGGAACACCAAGACCTTCTTTGCAATTAGGATGGTGAGGTCCATCCCAATAGTATTTCCCAAATACCAGCAAGGGTCAAAGTTTATTCTTAAGTATCTCCAAGAATAGGCAGTCTCAGGACGCTTGCTGTTAAGTCTCACGCACACTAAATAGCAGTACTTTGTTGTGAGAGGGGCTGACCTCTACAGAGAGCAATTGGAGTGGCCCAGTAGCACAACAGGTGTTCTGTTCTGATGCTGCTTTACCTGCTAGTTCCATCATAATTGCTGTGTGAGAGATCTGGGGGTGATGGAAGTGCCCGAGTGTGACAATCGAGTGGTGGCATATTGAGAGAACATAATATCATGTGAAATTCTTATGAAATGAGTCTAGATCTCTAGTGCCATGAGTCTTACCCTTCCTCCTGGAAATATATGGGGGATGTTTTAGGAGTCGGTGACGTTTGAGGATATGGCTGTCACTTTCACCCTGGAGGAATGGGCTTTACTGCATCCTTCCCAGAAAAAACTATACAGAGATGTGATGCAGGAAAACTACAGGAACCTGACCTCGATAGGTAAGTGTGACATTCCCTCTCGTAGCCAGTCAGATACCAATTGTTACTTGCTTGTCAATACTGTTCCATGATTTGGGAGTGTGGAAAGGGAACATTCTGGTGAATATACCAGCCTGGTCACATTATACCATGAATCTAGCAAGAATCTATTCTTTTTTTCCTACAATATTGTAATTAGTCATAATGGCTTGTTTTGGTCTGCATTTTAAAAAAACAATGGGAAACTCAAGCCACTGATGATTGCTACGAAAATTCCAGGAGAAATATAAGGTAATTTGCACTCACAAGAGAAAGCAAAGTACATCATGAATCTTAGAGTAACATAAAATTTTAAAAACAAGCAGATGGTACAAATGTGCTCAGCTTCAAATTGATTTAATCTCATTTTTCTCCAAAAATGCATACAGATTGAGCATCCATTATTGGAAATTCTGAGATCCAAAATGTTCCAATAGAGGCCACATCTGTATCACTGACATGAGACCACAGTGGTACTCTCCCAGTTTTTAATACACAGACTGTGTTCCATACACAAATTATTAAAAATGTTTTTATGAAATTATGTTCAGGTTTTGGGTATAAAATGTTAATGAAATAAAAATGAATTTTAGATTTAGATTGGGACCCATCTTGATATCTTATTATGCATATGCAAATATTACAAAATCCAAAACACATTGGGTCCCAAGCGTTTTGCATAAGGAATACTTAACTGTATTTAAATGTGCTATAGATATTCAGTGTTAGCAAAATACTTTGAAGCATTAGTAAGGAACCAAATATCCATATCACTGTTTTGATAACCGCTGTACTCAAGCCATCCTCTAGTGTATTCAGTCCATTCATGGTCAACAATTGTTACAGAACATAAAACTTCCGGGATATTATTAATAAACTCTTAGTGATGTGCTTCTCATTTTTTTGTAGTGGGCAAGTAGTACAGAGACTCTATAAAGGTGACAGTTGGTGTGGTGACCACTTCAGCCCGATTCTACATTCTGTTGTGAACAAGAAAACACCTCCGAGAGTCAAACCAAGTGAAAGCTCTGTGTGTGGAGAAGTGGTCATGGGTGATTCCCCCCTAAATGTGCCCCTGCCAGCTCACACTGGATACAAAGCACATGCATGTCAGGAACACAGAGAGAATTCATATAAAGATAAGGAATATCCAGAAGCCTCCAGGTATCCCCAGTGCTTTCAGAAGAGGGAAAGGATTCACACTGGGAAGAAGCACCATGAATGTAAGCAACTTGGGCAAGACTTCAATCGTCCCAGTTCCCTTCCATTACATGAAAGAACTCACCCTGGAGAGAAACCCTGCGAATGTGAGCAATGTGGGAAAGCCTACCATAATGCCAGCGCCTTCAGAAAACATGAGGTAACTCACACTGAAAGGAAAGCCTGTGTATGCAAGCAATGTGGGAAAGCCTTCAGTAATTCTGGTTACATTCAAATGCACGAGAGAACCCACACTGGAGAGAAACCCTCTGTATGTAAACACTGTGGGAGAGCCTTTACGTTTCTCAATTCCCTTCAAAGACATGAAAGAACTCACACTAGGGACAAACCCTATATATGTAAGTATTGTGGAAGGGGATTCAGTTCTTCCTGTTACGTCAAAATACACGAAAGAACCCACAGTGGAGAGAAACCTTATATATGTAAACAATGTGGGAAAGCCTACTGTGATCCCAGGTCCTTCAGAAAACATGAAGCAACTCACACTGGAGAGAAACCCTATGTATGTAAGCAATGTGGAAAAGCCTTCATTTCTTCCAGCCACATTGAAAAACATGAAAAAATTCACTCTGGAGAGAAGGCCTATGTCTGTAAGCAATGTGGGAGAGCCCTCACTTTTCCCAGTTCCCTCCACAGGCATGAAAGAATACACAACACAGACAAACCCTATACATGTCAGCAGTGTGGAAAAGGCTTTCATTCTTCATATTACTTTAAAAGACATGAAAGATCACACAGCAGGGTCAAACACTATGTATGTAAGCAATGTGAGAAAGTCTTTTATGATCCCTGCTCCTTCAGAAGACATGAAAAAACTCACATTGAAAGGAAAGCTTACGTGTGTAAGCATTGTGGAAAGGCCTTTAGTTCTTCCAGTTACATTCATAAACATGAAAAAACTCACACTGGAGAGAACCCCTATGTATGTAAGCAATGTGGGAGAACTTTTAGTCATTCCATTTCCCTTCAAATACACGAAAGAACTCACACCGGAGAGAAGCCTTATGTATGTGAGCAATGTGGGAGAGCCTTCAGCGAATCCAGTACCTTTCACAGTCATAAAAGAACTCACACTCGGGAGAAACCCTATGCATGTAAGCAGTGTGGGAAAGCCTTTAGTTATTTCAGTTCCCGTAAAATACACGAAATAAGTCAGTAGAGAGAAGCCCTCTCAAAGTGGAAAGAAGTCCTATGTATGTAAGTATTGTGGAAAAGCCTTCAGTCGATCCAGTCATGTTCTCAGACATCAGAGAACTCAGGCATGTAGGCAACGGATGTGTGAAAACCTTCCCTCAGTGCAGTCACATCCTTGTACAGGAAAGAAGTCAAACTGGAGAGTGACCCTGAATAAAGAATGTGGGAAGACTTCATCGTCACATGAAGTCTCTAGCAAATGTGAGAATGCAGAGACAAGACCTGGATGGATGGATGGAAAGCCTGTGGGAACGCCTGAGGTCATCTTGGTTCATTGTACACCTAGGAGTGAACACAGCACGAAGAGAAACCTGGGATAGAAGACGAGTGCAGAAACCTTTTGTCCAACACTGGATCAAAAAACTGTGAATGGGAAAAATAGAAGGAATTTGTCAGTTGTAACAAAGAGTTTGAACATCTTCCTCATGTAGTGGGATCCTATAAATGTCATTAATATGAAAAGCTGCATGCCAGTTAAAATTGTTTAAAATGCTGTGACAAATATACTACCTGAAGGAAATGTGCTGAAAGTCTAAATGTACCGGGTTCATCAATGACTCATTCTGAAAGGAGATTTCCACACTATGTATTTCTGATTTTTACTCTTGAAAATAAAACTCATAGTCACATACCTCTGCAAGTTTTGTTTAGACACAGTGTGTTGAGTTTCCCAGGTAGTGCCCTTTTCAATTAAATCAAGTGATGAGTATTTTTCCTTTCATTTTGGCCATGTTGGATCCACAGGCAAATTGAAGCACAGTTCGGATATGCCAGGAAGCTTGATTTCTATGTAGTTTTAAAAATACTTGTGGTTAATGGTACACTAAAAAATGTGTTTTTGTGAGTCGGCATTTTCCTACTGGCTTCTTTTGACAGGTTTACCCTTTTACTCATGTTTGTTTCTCTCTCTCTCTCTCTCTCTCTCACACACACACACACACACACATCATTCTTGGGGACAATTTACAGTTTTTACATGGATTTTATATTTTTTACTTTGATGTATAGTTTGTTCAAACAATATTCTTTTTTTTTTTTTAAATAACCTCAGTAGGTCCTTTTTTTAAAAAAATTCTGTTTTATTTATTTATTACTATGTTGTGCTGAGGATTGAACCCAGTGCCTCACATGTGCGAGGCGGGCACTCTGCCACTGAGCCACAGCCCCAGTCCCCATGTTCCAACAACATTCTATATGTGTTTTTTCAAAGAGTTTGCTAAGTGTTTTTTTTTTTTTAAATTTTTCTATTTTCACAAAGTCTAAAAGTTTTAAATACACTTATAATAATAATTGAGAACTAATTTATGGAATATATTTACTCATTAGAAAAAAGTAATTCTTTTTCATAGGAATCACAATTTGCTTAACTGTGAGCTCAAACTTATCATTCCTCACCATCAAATTAATTACAAATATTATCTATATAAACCATCCTTAGCTCAAAGGTCATGCAAAATCAGATGGTCAGAGCTGGCCTCAGACCTTAGTTTGATAACTAAGAAATTTTCACTGGAGCCATGGAGAGTAACAGATCAAAAGAAAGCAAAGAACAGGAACAAGAAATATTATAACTTAACATTTTTTTTTCTGAAATACATGCATGTGCTTCTTTATTTCACATTTCATTTTATTTGACTTTGCCAAATACATTTTCTTGGAGATGGATTAGAATTACTCAGCAAAAATGAAAAGGAAGAGAAAGAATCTGCTTAGTCTTTGACTTCCAAAATAAAACTTTTTCATTTTTAGTTAGACCAGAATATTGATGTCAATCACAAGTAAGAGAGTCAAACCTTTTTATAATTCCTTAATTTCCTATCAAGAACCAAGTTTTTGGGCTGGGGATATAGCTCAGTTGGTAGAGTGCTTTCCTCGCATGCATAAGGCCCTGGGTTCAATCCCCAGAACCGTACACACGCACACACACACACACAATAACCAAGTTTTACTGTCTGATATTCTGATACCTACTGGTACACTAAACTAAAGACTTTGGCATATTTTTTTCCCCTTGCTTTCAAAAGTTATGTTTTGCTTTCTGCTTTTTTAAATTTTTTTTTTAGTTGTAGATGGACACAATATCTTTATTTATTTTTTTTATGTGGTTCTGAGGATCGAACCCAGTGCCTCACACGTGCAAGGCGTGCACTCTACCACTGAGCCCCAACCCCAACCCCTCTGCTTTTATTTTTAATGGATGCACAGAAACACAAGTGGACATATTAATGGGAAAATATAATATTCCTTACATGTATAGATTGTGTGACGCTTAAGTGAGGTTAAACATGTTTGTTTCCTTTCTTTGTGGTGAGACCTTTCAAAATCCTTCCTTCTAACTTTGAACGGTGCAGTGTATAATTGTGATCCATTTCTCTGCAACAGTAAGTACTTCAGTGCTTCTTGTTCTATCTTGAACAACTTTCTCCACACCCCACTCTCCACCCTTAGGTAATTAATCATCATTCTAGTGTCAACCCCTGCTAGGTGAACTTGTTTAGATTCTATGTGAGAGTGAGATCAAGTCACATTTGTCCATCTGCACCTGAGTTTTTTCACTTAACATAATCTCCATTTCCATCCATGTTGTTGCGAATGACAGGATATATATTCCCCTTCCTCCTCTTTATGGTACTGGAATTCAAATTCAGGATTTGGTAAATGCTCTACCACTGAGCTACATTCTCAGCCCTGATTTTGTTCTTTTTAATGGTTGCGTAGTATTCTATCACATATATTTACCACGTTTTCTTTATCCATTCATTAGTTGAAAGACACAAATTAATTACAAATATTAATTACAAATATAATTTATAATTAATTACAAATATAATAACTGAGAAACAGAAAAATTGTTTCTGTTTCTCAGTTATTGTGAATGGTACTGTGATGAACATGGGGGTACAGATGTTTCATCAAATTCTAATTTCATTTCCTTTGGACATATACCCAGTAATGGAATTACTGGTTCATGTGGTGCAGAGGATCGAAGTTATATATTTTAGTTTAGGTGTAATCTCCATATTGTTTTCCATAATAGCTGTACTAATTAACTTTTCCACCAAAAGTGACCCTTTCCTCCCCATTCTCACTGTTGTTATCTTTATTCTTTTTTATATCAGTCATTCTTACTGATATATCACTGTGGTTTGGATTAGCATTTCCCTGGTAAATAATAATGTATCTGTCGACCATTGCATCTCATCTTTTGAAAAAGTGAATTTAGATCTATTGTCCATTTTTTGGATTGGGTTATTTGTTTTTTAACTATTAAGTCTTAGAGTCCCTTATATATCCCACCTACCAACCCCTTGACAGATTTGTATGTCGCAAATATTTCCCACTATTCGGTAGGTTGTCTTGGAACTCTGTTGTGTGTCTTGCTGTACAAAGCTTCTTAGTTTTATGTTATCCCATTTGTCTGTATTTGCTTTTGTTTCCTGTGCGTTTGTGGTCTTTCCAAAAACATCCTGGTCCATTCCAGACTTCTGAAGCATTTCCTATATGCTTTCTTCTAGTAATTTCATAGTTTCAGGTCTTACATTTCAGTCTTTTAAACTAATTTGGATTGATCTTTGTGACAGGAGTGAGACGGGGTCTGATTTCATTCTTTTGCATATGGCTGTCCAATTTTCCCAGGACCAATTATTGAAAAGAGTATCCTTTATTCACTCTGTGTTCTTAGCCTCTTTGTCACAGTCAGGTGGCTGTAGGTAAGAGGGTTTCACTTCTTGGCTTTCTGGTTTTTTCCATTGATATTTGTGTCTGTTTTTGTGCTAGTGCCGTGGCTGTTTTTTTTTTTTTTTTTTGTGTGTGTGTGTGTGTGGTTCTCTGACCATTTTAAAATTGCTTTATAGCTCTGTGAATAATGCCGTTGTCATTTTGCTAGGGATTGCATTGAATTTGTAAGTTGCTTTGGGCAGTATGGGCATTGTTAACAATATTTATTCTTCTAATCTAGGAACACAAGATGTCTTCCCACTTTTTTGTGTCTTCCTCAGTTTCTTTCATCTATGTTTTGTAATTCTTATCTTAGAGATCATTCAATTTTTTATTAAATTTATTCCTACATATCTTTTTTTCTTGTAGCTATTGTATATGGGATTGCTTTCTTCTGTTTCAGACCATTCACTATTGGCATGTCACAATTCTATACTTTTGCTGTAGATATTGCTGTGTCATGTCTCCATTTCCACTTGTCTCAAAACAACTCTTAATTCTATTTATTTATTTACGTGTTTATTTTTGGGTCAGTACTGAGTATGGAACCCACAGCCGTCACATAACAGACTTTATGACTGCTGCTGAGCTGCCTCCCAGTCTTTAAATTTTTATTTTGAGACCGGGTCCCGTTAAATTGCCCTTGCCAGCCTCAACCTTGCTATCCTCTTGCCTTAGCCTCCTGCTTGCTGAGATTACAGGTAGATGTCACCACATCTGACTTAAATTCCTTCTTGATTTTTTTTTTCTTGATCCACTGGTTATTCAAAAGTAAGTTATTTTCCGTGTATTTGTATAGTGTCCAAAACTTTCCTTGTTATTGATTTCTAGCATGATTGTGCTCTGAAGAGATGCTCAGTATGATTTCAGCTTTTGATATTCCGTTGGGACTTATTTTGTCATCTGTCACAATCTTTCTGGAGAATGTTCCGGGTGGTGATGAAACAAATGGCTACTCAGAGCCTTTGGAAGGAAGGGTCCCCTGTCGTTAGTTCCGTTGATCTCTGGAGCCTGTGACTCTGCTTTTCTTTGTTCATTTTCTGTCTGGACCCTCCTGTCTGCTGCTGAGAGTGGGATGGGATCGTCCGTAGCTATTACTGTATGGGAGTCTCTCTCTGCCTTTAGAGATGGACGAAATTCTGTCTTATTAGTGCTTGTTTTATATGTTGGATATTCTGATATTGGATGCATATGTATTTAGAATTGCTGTTTCTTCTTGGGGGATTGACCCCTTTGTCACATGCAGTGACCTTCCTGGTCTCTTTTTATTTATCAGTATGGCTACTTCTGCTTTCTTAGGTGTCATATTCCATCCCCTTACTTCAATTCAGTCTGTGTATGTCCTGACAGGGGAAGCAGGTTTCTTGCAGGTAACATGTAGTTGGGTCTCCTTTTTTTAATCTATTCCGTCATTCTGCGTCTAAATTGTAGAATTTAATCCATTTATTTAAGGTAATTATATAGCTCGTTTTGTAATTTTGCAGTAGCTCCTTTCCCCCTCTTGTGATCTTACTTAGTGTCTAAATGAATTGGCATAGTACTATTTCCATTTTTTGGTGGGGGAGGGTACTGGGCATTGAACTGAGGGGCACTCGACCACTGAGCCACACCCCCAGCCCTATTTCCTATTTTGTATTTTATTGAGAGACGAGGTCCCACTGAGTTGCTTAGTGCCTCGCTTTTGCTGAGGCTGCCTTTGAACTCGCGCTCCTCCTGCCTCAGCCTCCCGAGCTGCTGGGATTATAGGCGTGGGCTACCGTGCCTGGGTTACTGTTTTC